ATCATCACCAATGAGCTATGAGTGGAAGATGGACATTGGAAAAGTAATTGAGTATAGATAGTTTATTTTTACTTATGAACGACATGGACAACGTCGAGGAAGTCGAAACAAAGCTTATGAAACAACTGAATGATCATCTGCGCCATTATGTACATTTTTGTCCACCCTTTTTTTTTTGCCTTTTAAGCTATACGGTGTTTTCCCTGGCTAGGAGGTGAGTGTAGGGGATTAATGCCCTAGTTAAAAGCTCCTCGGCACTAGGACACCTTCTCGTAATTATTTCGTCAAATTTTCTTCCATCAGGCTGCCAGTCAACACGGTGCAGTGGACACGCGTTAACCCGCTCTGCCACCCCACCCTGTATTAATGTACTGTATCAATTGTTAATTTCGACATGTTTCGGAAAATGTATTTCCCTCTTCATGTATTTAACGTCAAAGCCGTTTAACAGGTACCACTTTGCGTACAATTCAATTCCTTATTTGTCTTCAAGCAACAAAAGATCCTATTAGACAGAGGGATAGAGCTACAATAAAGTTTATATAAACATTGGTCCGATTTTCGAAAAAGCAGAAAATTTAAGTTTTGTGTTTTTTCTTTTTTTAAGTCAATCGTGTTTTATTGTTGAATAGGCATATCCTGGGATGCTACAGAAACATTTTCTTTAAAATCGGCTAACCGGAACTAGCACTAACACTTTATACTGGGACTAACACTTTATATCATCGATTTTACACATTTTTACAATTTCCTCAAAAACGACTAGAACGATTCGGAATAAACCCGGCATTGATGTCGCCTAACAGGTCTTCGATATAAAATATTCGAAATTTCTTCCTCTAAAGTATTTTTAATTTGGTTTCTTTTAAATAATTAACTATTTCTCATTGTTTTAGGAATAAAAAAATTCCCAATAATTTAATTTAATATGATAAAAAAAGAAACAATTATTTTTAGGTTGAAAATAAATTCCGTAAAATAATAGTCACAACTTATACGTATAATATATCGTTGAAAAGTTGAGGATTTTAGAAAAAAAAAAAAACATTATTTAAGATGCATCATCGTAGAAGATAATAGAGAGTAACGAAAAAATCATAAATAATAATTTCTAAATAAATAAACTACATACTTAATTAAAATCAACAACTAAATATAATATTTTAAAGTTTGAAAATACAGTTCATAGTTATCATCATCAAATTGATTCATTGCTTAAAAAACTATTTTACGGTACTAAAAATATTCCATTTATGGGTAAAACATATGTTTATAACCATAAACATAGCAGTAAACATATGAATTTACTGCATTTTAATAACTTTGGACCCGATGTTATATTTAAATAATTAGATATATATCGTGGTTTTATTCCGAAAAATCATTAAGTAACATTATAGAAAATTAAATTAAATTGAATAGTTTGATGAATTTTCTCTCTATTAAAACACATCATTATCAACTTGCAATTAGTGTGACAACTTTTGACTTATCGATGATGGCCAATGAAAACGTCGTCATAACTAAATTTTATTGAATTTTACAAGCGAAAAATTAAAGTTTTACAATGTAATACAATCCTTGCTCATTTATATATACACAATACAAAATACACATATTTTCATATTTAATATATAAATGAGATATATATAAATATATTTAAATGTTTATTATAGAGCAAGTGAAAGCTGTGGGATGGCCGTACCAGATTTTTTCAAATCAGCTACGCTTTTAGTTAATCGGAACCGATAATTGAAATATATTTAATTTAGGTAATTAACAATTATTTTATAGTACATAAAACAAATTTCGCTTCTAATGAAAGTAGAGTTTCTCTTTTTTAAAATCATTTAATGACTATATTACCCCCACATAGCCACGTCAGTAGGTCAAATTTATTCCCTTACGATAGCTATCTGCCAAATAAAATATTTTTTCTAATCCAGCCGGGTATCCAGAGTAAAGAACATTTTAGGGAGAGACAGAGTTGATGTTTGTTTTTCACTCCCCGAAAACTGTAAAATACGAATTTTCATTACAATCTTAACACTTCAAATTTTTGCTTGAAATTTTTGACCAGACTCCAGTCTTTCGAAATTTTGCCACCAACCAAAAAACTTGAGATAACTTCATAACTCCACCGACTCCACCGAATTACAGAAAAATATTAGGGTCTTAGGGTCGTATTAAAGCTCTGTATGCTAGACTAAATAGTGTACACGCTACCTCTGTAAACTAATGAGAACCAAAGACCTGAGAAGTGTCTCTAAATTTCTAGCTTGAAAAGGAATGAATTTCAAAAACTACTGATGTGGTTCGGAAGAGTTTTATTTAGAAGAAAGAAGAAAACGAAAAAGAAATTATAAATATTTAGACTTCGTAATTACCTTCGATTGAGTACGGAGTGGTTTAATTAGTGAATGCTGAGTCAAATAAATAATGGATCCATGGTTCAAACATTCCCTTGATTGAAGGAGCGGCAATTAAGCTTTCCAACGGTTGTACTAACATTGAATTCGGATAAAATCTTGAGAAGTTATGCATGCCTTGGTTGACGGCCGGAAAAACAAACCCTCTAGAAAACCAAGTACTAAAATTGTTAATTTTTTATATATTTTTTTATATCTATAAAATTCGTATTTATGAGTTTTAAAGAACCCTAAATAAGAAATGAAGCTTTCTTCTTCATAGCAAAAATTTACGTGACCTAATTTACTGGAAGCCCCTTTTAGTTTTTGTAATTTAAGATACGTAATAACTCATTCAATACTGTAATCAATATGTTTTCCTTATTATGAACAAAAAAAAAAATAATCGATTGGTATATAATGACCTTAAATCCGGGCAAAGCAAAATTAATAACATCAATTTTGATCGAAATTATATACAATTTTTTTTCTCGGTTTTTACGAGGCAACTCTCGGACATAATTCTCATATTTTTCGATTTATTATCATCAAATAAAGTTTCATTGAAATCGGTTACCCCACATGCGTAACTTCCTCTTTTAGTTTTTTCATAAAATCATGAACTATTCTTCCATATAATCTTATTCTACTTGTATTGGAAGGAAATTTTGTCTAGGTTACTACGAAAAAATAATTAATTATCTTTATTAAATATTTTTAATTATCTTTTCCTATTTAACAAAAAACACAACTGATTTAAATTAATAACATAAAACTTAAATTCCCTCTAAAAGATCGAATTATATATTATTCGAGGTTACATTCAAAGTGACTTAAAAAAACAACTCCTACGTTATATTTTTGTATTAAAACCGCATAAGCACTTTTATATTGATCGAAAATTAACTTACTAATTTCTAAAAAAGTGGTGATGGTTAATCACAAAAATTCTTTCTAACTAAAAATATATGAATAAACATTAAAAATATTGTAAAACACACAAAACCTCAACATATATTAATTTTCTTCTATTTAAGTTCTATTAATTGCGACAGTTTACTGTTCAACTGTCATCTGCAATTTTTTTTTTAAGCTTTACATTTATTATAATCATCTTTCATGAAATCTCAATATATTACTCAATATTTTTTTTATATTTCCATTTCATCAAAAAATTAATATATTCCTCGGGGTAACTCAAATATTTTTAAAATATCTTTTTAATACACTACTGTTATTAAGTATTATTTTTTGCTGAAATCAAAAAATAAACCACTGGGAACCGTACGTTTAATGCGAAATTTTGAACTTTATGAAGGAAATGTTTTTTTCATTTGTTATGGCTCATTCTTGGTACTGTTTAGTGGTTATAATGTTTTCGTCTCCTGCAACAAATCGAAAAAATATAATAAAACTAAGAAATGGAATAAATCGAACACTGGGGTACCGCTTTGACTCCCAACTAGCAGCAAAAGAGGTCGATTTCGCGTTTCCGTGTCCTATAGCAATCATGTATATCAATGAACGTCCTATAATTAATGATTTCGAATGCTAGAGTTTTCTTAAAACAAGTAGATAGGTATATTAAAATAAACTTAAAGTTATATTATCATATCAAACTGGACTATTTAATCGATGTAATATTCATTTAATGCATAAATTATTTCGTCCTTTTCACCAATAAATTCATTTCCAGCTTTTACTTGGATGAGCTATCTATTAGTGTTAACAGATGTTAACAAATAGCCAAATCGTCGAATTTAATTTTTAAATTTCATAGAAGATATTGTTTATAATTTCTATCTTTTGTTGACTTTATCAGAACTAATAAAATATAGTTATAGTGAAACCACACCAATTTCTCAACAGATCAAATAAGTAGTTGCAACATTCATTTAAATTATAATAACATTTCTTTTTCCTAAATATGTTCCTATATGTTCACTCACAAGTTCATTTCCAAATCTGTAACGGGTTGAGCTACCACCTATTGCGGACTGGTAGTGAAATTATTGAACATAAACATTTGCTCTTTACATTTTCATACTTAATCTCCGTTTACTTTCTCAATAAGAAACAAGAATTGGCTAATCATTCACAAAATTAAAACGGCTTAGTTGCGAAACCGGGACAGACAGTTTTAGTACACACTAAGGAGAATTCTATGTGAATTTATGGAATATTTAAGTAGGATGAACAACCGTCATTGACTTTTATTTTGAGAATACTTTTTTATGATATTTTTTTACTGAATCTAAAATTTTGTTTCCTTTCTAATAATGTTTTTATTATTTACATTAAGGATTCATGCATGTATCTGTATCGATTTAAAAAAAAATTAATTTTTTTGTGAACTTACTGTCTTTAGAAGTTTTTTTTTTTTCTCTAACTTGAAAATTAATCAATTACAAACCCATGTATATAATATAGGTTTCGTTTAAGGTTGGACTTCTGAAGGATTTTCCATTTAATGACAACCCAGTTCTACAAACAAGCGTAATGAAATATAACCGATGAAGTCCAGTAGCTATGCTGTATCTTCCTGGATTCTATGAGACAGTATAATAAAGAGACTTGGTAAGAGAGACTCACGGTAGACAGAAGGTAGGGCCTGAAGTCCGGCTCGGCGTAGACTAGTGCCGGCAGGAGAAGAAGCAGCCGCAACATGCCTTCATCATAGCTGGATGTGGAGTAGCTGGCACCAAACTTGTTGGGCGACTGCCACTCCTAGCAGTATCCATGTCCCCTCTCTTCTGCTACCCCCCTTCGCCTCTTCTTGGACATCCTCCGTTATCCTCCGGACATCTTCTTGGCAAAAATAGCCAGCGGTATGTTCCGTGATAATGATTGAGAGTCTAAAGACCATGCCAGAATTAACAGACTAATTTTGCAAAGAAATGCGTCTGAGTATAGCATTTATGTCGTAAATATTTTATTGTCATTCAAAAAAAGTTTCAATAATACGCATTATAGTCTGCGGAATCTTTTTATAAAACTATTAGCATCCGTCTATACTTCATCTTATCGTGAAATGGTGTGTTTTCAATCTAGAGATGGGTAAACTTTGTTATAATTTGTCTTAACAGAATCACATATGATTTTAACGTGTCGTTTGTTTGAGCATGTATCAAAAAAGATAATTTTTTATACCGACGTTTTAGCGAAATCGACAGTTAATATTTTTTTTATTAATTTGTCCTTTCAAAAGGATGAAATCTAAAATTTATCGATGCTGGTTGAAAAAGTACAGTCCGCGTTATCAAATTCCTTTCAATGTGGCTTCAAATCCTTTTTTATCAAATTATTAGCATCTGCCTAAAACTTCGTAAATAACATCTCATCATAACCTAAAAATATTTTTTTTTTTAAGCTTATTTATTGAAAAACATTACAATCTGTCTCAAGGACATTTACAATAGTGTTCACAGATCACATTCACACTCTATGTACAGTAAATAAATAAATTATATAGAAAAATAATATATATACAATGAATAAGAATAAAATATCCTAAAAATAAATAAATAAAAAGAACACATACACACCTATATACAATATTTACAATTTGGCGAGAGGACTCCAAACCAGACTTGTCCCTCCAACTGTGGAGGGAAAAGTATGACTCCAGGAGTTCCCTACACTCCTCTCTCAACCGCGTCACTAGGGCTAAACCCAGTGGAGATTGAGCAAGAATGCTTTAGCCACATATGTCATGAGTGGAGAATCTGGCCATTGCCAGAACTCCAATATTTACAAACTCTAAAAGATCGCGGGGCCACTGCCGTTTTAACCTCCTTGGAGGATTTATGGATGGGTGGTGCTGGATAGAGATTGTGCTAAGGGATTTGGATGATGGGTAAGGTTCTGGTGGAATTTGGAGAATTTTGCTGGGATAAGGTCTAGGACAAATGAGATATTAAGGTCATGGTGTAGGGTTTTGTTGGTTACATAGAAAGGAGCATTAACTATTGTTCGAAGGACTTTGGATTGGAAGGATTGGATGCGTTTGATGTTAGTAAATTTTGCTGTTTCCCACAGTTCAAGTCCGTAAGTCCAGAGAGGTTCCAGTATTGTCTTGTAGATCAGTAACTTGTTTTCAATGGAAAGTTTTGATTTTCTGTTTAGTAGCCGGTATAGTTGTCCGTATCGTCGGTTTAGTTCCTGTCTTTTAAGTCTAGTATGAGGGTTCCACGTTAGTCGTCTGTCTAAGAGAAAGCCAAGGTACCGGACTGTGTCTGAGAAAGGAAGCTGAATGGAATTAAAGTGTATTGGAGGACAGGAACTGCGTCGGAGCGTGGTATGTTGGCATTTGGATTCGTTTACATTAATACGCCATTTATTACACCAGTGCTCAATCAGGGAGAGGTGTCTTTGAAGGTTTAAGGATGCTATATCAGTATCTGAGTCGGATGATAGAATGGTGGTGTCATCAGCAAAAGTTGCCAGGAAGGTATTGGGATGGAGAGGGATATCGGCGGTAAAGAGGATGTAAAGGACGGGACCCAATACGCTACCTTGAGGAACACCTGCCTCCATTGGATAGCAATTCGATAATTCACTACCGGAGCGAACTCGGAAGGTATGATCTGAGAGGTATGAACGGAGGACAAGGTATAAAGACTGAGGAAGATAGGTTTTCAGCTTGGAAAGAAGCCTGGCGTGCCATACCTGCTCGAAAGCTTGAGCTATGTCCAGAAATGCACCCGAGCAGTATTGCTTGCTTTCCAATGCTGCGGAAATATGATCGACCACTCGGAGTCCTTGTTGGACTGTGGAGTGTTGAGAACGGAATCCGAACTGATGTGAAGGAAAATTTTGGGATTCTATAAAGGGTATGATTCGTTTCAGGAGGATCTTTTCAAAGATTTTTGAGAGAATCGGAAGTAGGCTAATTGGTCTGTAGGACGTTGAGGTGTTGGGAGGTTTGCCTGGTTTCGGAAACAGAATAATAGTAGAATATTTCCACAAAAGAGGAAAGTGGGTGGTTCTTAGGATGGCATTATATAAGTAGGTGAGAAATATAACAGCTTTAGGAGGAAGTTGTCGAAGGATTTGAGAGTTAAGGAGGTCGTATCCAGAAGATTTACGGAGAGGAAGTTTTTGTAAGTGATGTTTGACCTTAGAAGGATTAACTGCTTTAGGGGGCAAGGAAAGTGGAATGGGTGATGTAAGGAATTCTTCTACTGTTGTGGTATGGGTGAGGTTGGATTCCGGATGAGAGGTAAATGTTCTGGAGAGGTGTCTGGCGAATTCCTCAGCTTTATCTTCATCAGACGCTGCCCAGGAGCCATCGCTTCGACGGAGGGGATGGGAAATATGATGAGATTTAAGGATTTTGTTGGTGATCTTACATAGGGAATTGTCATGAACAGAGAGGGAAGTAAGGTAGGAGTTGAAGGATTGGGATTTGAAGGTGGCCAATTCTTGCTTTAATTGTTTACGGTAAAAATTATAGGAGCGACTGTGTCTAGTGGGGTGTCTAGTACGTTGCCATAATAATCTGGCGCGGCGTTTGGTATGGATTAGGTCTATGAGGTGTTGAGGTAACTTATTTTTCTTGGGAGTTCTTGAGGAGTGGTTTGGAGAGGAAGCAGTCCAGATTGCTTGTTGGATAGTGGTGGTGAAAAGGTGTACGGCATTGTCAAGGTCATCTGGTGTTTTTAGGGTTATTCTGAGGTCAATTTTATCGGATAGGATTTGGTGAAAGAGTTTCCAGTTAACTGGGCCTCTGATGAAGGACGGTGGAGAAGACTTGGGAATAGGAGCTAGAGATATTTGGAGTAATAATGGACTATGATCTGAGGATAGTTCGGCAAGACGGGTAAGGGAATGATTGAGGGGACCTAAGCCACTGTGGATGAAGAAATCAAGGATATCGGGATTGCGGTTAGGATCTGTGGGCCAGTAGGTAGGTGACTTAGGAGGAAGGATACTGAACCGTTGGGAATTGAGTGCAGATAACAATGTTCTGTCACGAGAGTTCGTGGTTCTAGAACCCCATTGATGGTGTTTGGCGTTTAAATCTCCACCAAGGATGAAATGATGTCCTAAGGAGTTGAGAAGAGAACTGAACTGGATATTGGATATGGATATGTTAGGAGGGCAATATGCTGATGCTATGGTGACGGAAAAGGAGAAGGTTTTGATTACGATAGCGGTTGATTGTAGGAAATCTTGTGTCGGTAATGAGAGCTGGTGATGAGAAAGTGAGTGGTGTACAACAAGAGCAGTACCGGCATGTGCTTTACCGTCAGGATGGTCAGTACGGTATGTTATGTATTGAGGTATTTTTAAATGCTGTTTTCTGGCCAGTCGTGTCTCCGTAATTAGTGCTGTTCTTCCACGTCGATGTTCTTGTCCAGTAATAAAGCTGTCAGTTCTTCAACGTGATTTCTAACACCATTCGCATTCCAAAGGAGAATGGATATGGGTTTTGGGATGTGAGTCATTAAGGATTTTTTAAAGGAGGGATGAGGTGACATACGAGATTTGTGAGGAGTGACATGAGAGGAGTAACTAAGGATTTAAAATCGGTAAGGAAAGATGCCAGCAAACTGGTGAGATCTGTTGCATTTGAAGGAGGAGGGATATGATGAATTTGTTGTTGATGGTTAGGTTTATTCGGGTCAAAAGGATTTTGAGGTTAGGATTGAGGTTGTTGTTGCAGCAGGGCTTGACAGTTATCGGTTGAGCTCTTACCTCTAAGTAGCTGGGAAAATGATACACCATTGTTTACTATTCTAGAAGGCTCTCTCTCTCTCTTCTTGGTCTTCCTGCTTCATCTTGAATCCGGTTTTTCAGGTGTTTGGATTTGAGATTCTTGTAAATTTGGCATCCTTTGTAGTTGGCCGAGTGTCCCTCCAGGCATAGTGCACACACTGCAGGATCTTGTATCGGTTTTGTGCACTCCACTGATTAGTGCTGTTCACCGCATTTCACGCAACGCGGCAGATGGTGACAATAAGTCTTAGTGTGGCCATAAGCCTGACAATTATGGCACTGCACTATTTCTCTCTTGGGGTGTGGTTTCTCTACTTTCACCATTGTGTAATATAATCTTGTGATATCGTATATTTTCTCTATACCGGGTGATGGCTCCAGATCCACGAAAAATAAAGGTAGTGGTACTTTATTCTTTACTCCAGGCTGCTCCTTATTCTCCTTCAGAACGTTGGTTACTTGACGTACTTTGAAACCAAGCGCTGCTAGTTCTTCTTTTATCAGTTCAGTTGGGGTTGAGGAGTGTAAATTTCTTATTACTACTCGTAAATATCTCTTCTGCCTAAGCTGGTACGTATGAAAATCGCATTCGTTTCTGAGAGGTACTTCACCATTATTCGGTAGGTTTCAGCAGTATCTGGTGTTATTTTTGTATCGTTGGTCCTGTTTAGACATGTATAACTGCCAGAGCAGATTTTATTTAGTTGGGTGCAGAACAACTGGAAATTTTTGATGTTTTTCACAAATATCGGAGGAGGCCTTGGTTCTGTGGGAATTGCTGCAGACTCCATTACCTCTCGGCAGTGTTGCCGTTTGTACGAGGATCCTCGTATTTGTACGAGGTTATAACGTAATGTACGAGGTACGAGGATAGACCAGCTTCGTACCTCGTACATAAGTTTTGCTGACGTATGCAATGCAAGGGGTGTATGGGTTGTATGGATGAAGTTTAGAATTGGGTTACGTGTGTGGCGGTAGGGTGGTTGGGGGTATGGAGTGTGGTTTGTAGTCTTAGGAGGGTGAGGGAGTGTATGTTGTTTGGGAATGGTGTGAGGAGGGTTGGTGTGGTGGTTGT